GATGTGGAGCCATCGCAGACGATCCTGGGGAGAATCCTGAATCTCTGTAAACAATACTGCGTCGTCTCTGGGGCATGCTCGAAGGCTGCGGTCTTCCTGATATCGAATTTCCTCACAAGATCGGACGTGAAGAGGCTACACCTCGAGGAGATGATCACCTGGTGCTTGAGTTCTCTCCAGAGGGATCCCACGACACACGGTCCACTGGCGGTCCTGGCGTCGATCCTCAAACATTCAGCGCGTGAGGATCTCAAGCCCCACTGTCAGAGAATCTTCGACAGCATCACAAAACTAGAGCTCAGCAAATCAGGACACGCTGGTGATCTCGTCTGTCGTTACGAGATGAAGGTCATTCAGAGGATCGGTCTGATCGTCCTGAGGCCAAAATTGGCAACGTGGAGGTACAAGAAGAAAGGCCAGACGATCAATCTCCTCCAAGATTCCCCAAAAACCCCAGAGGAATCCATAAAAGATCCACCAACTGAGATATCAAGTGAAGCCGACGAAGAGGATGTGCCACCAGTGACAGAAGAGATAATCGAGCAGTTGATCCAGGGGCTGAGGGACAAGGTGATAACAATCAGGTGGTCAGCCGCCAAGGGAATAGCGAGGATAACATCTCGTCTGCCTGTCGACCTGGGGGACGAGGTGGTGGGATTCGTTTTGAATTTATTCTCAGGAAGAGAACAGGACACTGCATGGCACGGTGGTTGTCTAGCCCTTGCAGAGCTGGGGAGACGAGGTCTTCTGCTTCCTCATCGACTCCCGGATGTCATTCCAGTTGTTCTGAAGGCTCTGGTGTTCGACGAGCCTCGAGCCTACGGCTCCATCGGTGGAATCATCAGGGATGCTGCCTGTTACGTCTGCTGGTCCTTCGCACGTGCCTTCGAGCCCCACATCTTTCAGCCCCACGTCCAGGAAATCGCATCGACTCTCCTCATCGTCACGTGCTTCGACAGAGAAATCAATTGCCGTAGGGCAGGCTCTGCTGCCTTCCAGGAGAACGTTGGACGCCAGGGCAATTTCCCTCATGGCATTGACATTCTCACTGTTGCTGATTACTTCGAGGTCGGTGTCAGGAGTAACGCCTACCTCAAGATCAGTGTCCACATTGCTCAGTATAAAGAGTACACTGTCCCCATGATCGATCACCTCGTCCAGAGGAAAATTGGCCACTGGGACACTGCCATCAGGGAATTATCTGCCAAGGCTCTGGGTAATTTGACCTTCAGGGATGTTTATTACATGGTGGAGACTGTTCTACCCATTCTCATTGACAATCTCAGGTCGATTGATCTCAATGTTCGTCATGGATCCATCCTGGCGATCGCTGAGATTCTTGAGGCACTTCACGGGCATTTTGGTGGGAGTATTGAGGCCAGGATAGGTGTTCCTGAGGTTGAGGAGATCGAGAAGATCATTGGGATGTTCAGGTCTAGGGGACAGTTCAAGGGCCTCGGTGGGGAGCTGATGAAGCAGGCGTGTGCCACTTTGATCAGCAAGTGCTCGCAGGTGCATTTTCCAGTGGGGAGGGATGTCGTTGGGGAGTGGCAGAGACTCCTGGAGGAGTGTCTCAGTCATGAAGTCGCTGGGGTCAGGCTGAGGGCAGCTGAGGCGCACAGCAGCTTCTTCTTGGAGTACTATTCTCAGGATGATAATAAGGACGACCGGGATACAATCGTCAGTCGTTATTTAGAGAATTTGAAGTCCAGTCATCAGACGGTGAGAAATTTGTTGCCAGTCATTAATTGATTAATTAATTAATTCCTTCAGAATATTTTATTTTAGTATTCCATTTTCATTAATTATAAACGAATTATCCATGAATTATCAATGTGATCAGGTGAGAATTGGATTTGCTGAGGCGATGGGGTACTTCCCAGGATTCCTCCTGAAGGAGAGGTTCGAGGACATCGTCTCCGGAGTAATCGAATGCACCTGCATTACTGAGGAATCATCCAAGTGGGCAGAGAGCAGGAAAAAGGCACTCCAGTCCCTGACGATGGTCCTGCAGACACTAGGAGTCAAGGAGATGGAGACCTGGAGGCCCTTCGTATCTCGAATGTATCGGTGTTATCTCCTGGCGTTGAAGGAGTACACGATCGACAGCAGAGGTGACATTGGTGCGTGGGTGAGAGAGGCCTCGATGTCAGGACTGCATGTCCTCACGAATCTCGTCGCCCAGGGTAATATGTCAGAGGTCCTGGAGAAGGATCTGATGGGAGAAATTGTCGGTGGAATTGCCCAGCAGGCGGTGGAGAGGATCGACAGGACGAGGGTCCAGGCTGGAATGGTATTCTGTGGACTTCTGTACAGGCAGCCAAATCTACCGAATATCCCTCATCACCAGGAGCTCATGGAGATCTTCCCCAACGACGAGTGCAGGGATTGCATCGACTGGAAGACTGCGTCCCACACGTTCCCCAGGTTTATAAAAATGCTGGCATTTCCTGTGTACACGGAGCACCTCCTCAGGGGTATTATCTTCAGTGTTGGAGGTCTCAGTGAGAGTCTCGTCAAGTACTCGAGTGTCTCTCTGTTCTCTTACCTCAATGAGATGGGGGAGGAGACCCTGAAGGAACTCATGGGGAAGGTCTTGACGATTTTTGAGGAGAGCCACAGGCAGGAGAGAATGATCACCGCAATTCTTGCATTTTTGGATCGACTACTCAGCTCTGGGTGTGTTCAGGTCGTTCTTGATGATCCTGAGAGTCCGATTCCAGAGAAAATGCTCGGGCTTTTGAAGAGAGAACTCAAGTGCATGGGAAATGTCAAACATATTACAGCTAGCATCAAAGTTTTTTCACAATTGCTGCAGGTGATTTTTTTTTTACTATTTTCAATTCTTTTTTGCATTAATAATTGGTTTTTTAAACTTTTTTTGATCGAGTATCGAGGAATTTGACATATTCAATAATTATTTTACCATAATAATGGTCAATAATTAATAATGAGAATAATATTTCAGTTATTCATAATTTTATTGATTAAAAAATTGTTTTAGCCCAAAATCAGAGCGGAAATATCGGTTTGATAGAATATTAAATAATTTTACAACTTGAATAATTATTTTGCAATAATAATAGTCGATAATTAATAATGAGAATAATTTTTTATAAATAATTTTCTTCATCCGTTGTTTTTACCGATTAAATTAGAGATTGAGTGTTTTCCATTGTTTTTACATAATTATTTCTCTGGATACTTAATTAAAATTCTTTAATTATTGTTAATTAGAGACGTTGAATGATAGAGATGTCTCGTAATTAATTGAATTTTTTTTTCTGCAGGTGAGGGGATCCGTGGGTAAACAAGCGTTCACTCAACTGAGTATTCTCCTCTGCAATAAATTCCAGTGCATCCGGAAAGTGACGGCAATCAGAATCTACGAGGCCTTCACCCTCTACGGCGAGGACATGGACCTCCCCGAGGAGAATCTCATGAAAATCCTCACCGAGCTGAATGGAACCGACTGGGAACAACCGGTGGACGTTGTCAGGCCCAAACGAAATCATCTCTGCGAACTCATGGGCGTTCCCATTCCGGTCATCAAGAAAAAGTTAATTGGAATGTCGTAGGGATGTCAAGGTCATTTCGTAATTAATCCAAGGATTATCTAGAGGTCACAATGCAGTTTCTGAATTTCGACATAATTTTGTAATTAATTTTTATCTTATTACTAAACCAACGAATTTTCGCTTATCCACGATTTTATTATTTCCTTTGTATTTTTAACTCATTTATTTCAGGGAGAATCCAGTGAGTCCCATAAGTCCCATAAGTCCCATAAGTCCCATAGGTCCCATAAATTTCATCCTCGATTCATCGACGAATTTCATCCCTAGAAAAATCACTAATGACCTCGGGATATCGCAGAAGATTTATAGAGAAGTTCATAAATTCAAAAAAGAATTGCATTTCTAGAAATTTTATAATTAGTAATTAATGAGTAATTATCGAAAGAGCGATTATAATTCTCATCAAACATTCGCAAATGCATTTGAAATCGGCAATTTCGTTTCACCCTCCGATGGTAATGCTGTTGCTGTTCCTGTGATAATATCATGAAGACGTCCACCACCTCCTGCCGATTTTTTCATGAACTAGAATTCCAGGCGAGAACCCGGAGCCAACACGCGGATTATTTCGTGTTCCTTTGCCCGCGTCCATCATGGCATCAACCGAGGAAATAGCCGTATCCGCACTTGTTTACGATTATCTCTTGAAAAAAGATGCAGCCCTCGCGAAAGTGTTCCAGAAGAAGACGAACGCAGTGAGTACTTTTGAGTAATTCCTGATCTCCGGACAATCCCTGAGGAATTACTTGAAAAAAATTGATATTCCATGCGGCCCCAGAGGCACCACGTGGACGCCATGATTTTTTCAACATTTTTGCTCCAAAATTCAGGAAAATCCTCGAGGGAGTCCTAGAAATTTTTCAAAAAATCCAGTCTCTTCCGCCAATTATTCACCCTTCCCCCCATCAAAATCTTCCAAGGGGGGAATTTCCATGGGATCAATCGATTTGAGTTTTTTTTTTAGAAAACGTGTTCACATAACCAACAAAAACATTCTGCAATTGAATTATTCAAAACCCGATCTTCTTAAATTAAAAAAAGAATTGCATCCCTAGCAACTGTTTAAACAATTAGTAATTAATTTAAGACCGTTACCTGGTAAATTGTCTTGAGTATTTTCTTCTAGTTTTTAATTCCGTGCCGTTCGTGATTACTGGAAAAACAAAAATCTTCTGGTATTAATTAAAAAAATATTTATTCCCCCAGGTTCTTTGCTAATGAATGATTAAAGATCTGATGCTCCTGAATTCAAAAGAGAATTCCATCCCTGGAATAATTACAATCAGTAATTGATAACAGTAATTGATTAATTGATTTTCCATTCATTGAATTGTGTTGAACATTTTCGCCTCGTGTTTGACTCCAACAATTCCCAAATTATAAAAAATGTTCTGATATTTATAAATAATTCTTCACAGCTTTTAGTTATAATTTCCTGGGAATCATCTTGAGAGCCCCAGGTCTTGGCCGTCAATTAATTAAATTACGCGCTAAAATATTCTCGAAAATTTCAGCCGGCGCTGCCGAAGGGTTCTCCAGGTATCCTGGAGGTGATAAAGCACTACCAGAAGAGCTCCCCGAAGAAGCTGGTGATAAAGCCATCAAAATCGAACGACTCGGACTCGAGTTCATCCAGCGAGGACGAGGCCCCGAAGAAGGCTCAGCCCCAGGTGAACGGAACAGGAAAAGCCCAGAAGAAGACGGCATCCTCGTCTTCAGACTCGTCAGACTCTGAGGAGGAGAAAAAAGTGCCTCCCAAGACAGCAGCGAAATCTTCAGTAAAGGCTCCAGTAAAAAAGGCAGACTCTTCATCAGACAGTTCTTCAGAGGAAGAGGAGTCAAAGCCAGTGAAACCAGCAGTGAAACAAGCAGCAAAACAAGCAGCAAAACCAGCAGCTAAACCGACCCCGAAGGACTCCTCTGAGAGTTCCTCCGAAGAGGAGGATCCCAAGCCAACGAATTCGTCACCAGCTAAACCAACAGCTGCCAAAGTGCCAGCAAAGAAGAAAGACTCCTCAAGTGATTCAGACTCCGATGAAGAGGAATCAAAGACAAAAGCAGTTGCCAAAACTCCAGTTAAAGTCCAGGCGAAGACCCAGGTGAAGAAGGAAGCTGAAGAATCGTCGGATGACAGTTCATCGGAGGAGGAGGTAGTGGTTAAAAATGCTCCGAAGGCAGTGGCAGGGAAGGCCAAGGCTCCAGCGAAGAAAGAGTCATCGTCAGACGATGATGACTCCTCTGAGGATGAGAAGCCATCGAAGGTACCTGTGAAGGCGCCAGTTACGACTCCAGGGAAGACTCCAGGGAAGACTCCAGGGAAGAATGTACCTGTGAAAAAGGCGGAGAGCAGTGACAGCAGTGATTCTGATGATGAACCACCTACTAAGAAAGCAGCTCCAGCCAAAGCTACACCCAAGGTCACACCCAAGGCTGCATCCAAGGCTCCAGCTAAAGCACCAGTTAAAGAGGAGAGTGAGGACTCCAGTGACGACTCCTCTGATGAGGAGCCCCCGAAGAAGCAAGCATCACCCAAGAAGGCATCAGTGCCAGTGAAAAAAGATTCATCCTCCAGTGATTCTGATTCTGATGACGAGGAGACCAAGGTACCAGTCAAGGTCGTTAAGAAGCCTGTGAAGAAAGAGGAGTCAGACTCGAGTGACGAGGATTCTGAGGAGGAGAAGCCCAAAGCCAAGCCAACACCTGTGAAGAAGGCTCAGGAGTCCAGTGATGATGAGGATGAGGACGAAGTACCAGTCAAAAAGAGTCCTGTCAAGGCTGCCAAGAAGGAGTCCAGTGAATCTGAAAGCGAAGAGGAGCCTGCACAGACACCTATCAAGAAAACACCAGGACCTGGAGAGAAGAGAAAACGAGAGGACAGCGATGACACTCCACAGAATAAATTCAAGAAGAACGATTACAGTAATTTTGTGAAAGGGGGAATGAATGGGGATAAGGTGAGTTGAGAGGAAGTGGTGGATTCACCAGAGGATTGCGAGATTTTTATTTGAAATTTTCAGTCCTCTGGCGTTTCATCAGCTCTTCAGAAAATTCAATTTTTTATTTGTTGAGGTAATGGACAAGCATTCATCTAGTTGTTGTTAACAAAATAAATTGCAATTTAGTACCAGAAAAACACTCCATTTCGGCGTGTTAAGGACGACGAGGTAGCAGTGCCATCAGAGTTAGCTAATAATTCCTTCGAGGCTAAGGTAATTGAATTATTTTCTCTTGTTCAAGGGAAACACCAGGTCACACGCGGATCCTTGACGCTAACGGAAAGCAATTGATGTAGCTCTACCCTTTGGATTTAAATCTCTGGATGAGCTACTTTGGACAATTAATTTAAACATATTTTAGGAACGATGAATGCTTGTACTTTTCTCAATATTTCCTGATGAAAATGGGAATTAGCGTCTGACCTGTTGATTCTCTGTTCCAGGTGGAGGGGGAGGAGGAGGGTGATGGTTTTAAGAAGCACGG